GTTCAGTCGTCACCGTAAATCAAGCATAATACTTGTTTCGTATCATCTTTGTAAATTCCTCATATTTATCCCTTCAGGATAACTATGAGTTAGTTTGAATAAATAAATACATCTAATTCTACCGAGTAATATACCAGATTCCAGTATCTACCCACTGTAGGGAGATTTATCTCCAATTAGCAGAACCCAGGGATTCATCCCTAACAGCTGTGTTGGATGACGTCAGTCCGACATTCGAAAGGGATTGGTGGATCGGGCCCGCGTTTCAATACCACTCGACATGAGCGCCGGCATCTTCTGTCAATTACACAGAATAATTCTCGCTCAATTAACGAAAACGCGTAGCAAATAACCATTCTCCCAGGAAAGTGATTGGTGGTAATGGTGAAACATTGTAAATATATTCATCGAGACCATGATATTGATTAACATTAATTCTCATTTATGGCATAAGTTGTACACAATCAAAAATCTAACCTCTCAACTAAAAATAGTTCTGCTATAATATTTCATGTGAAATAAAAAACAAAAGAAAATACTTATTTCTAACAACAAAAGCCATAATTTAGACGAGTTCTTGAATTTGACACAAGTTGTAATATTGAAAATATTACAATGAGTAAAAAAGTCGTTTAGAGAGAGATAACAAGTGTCATTTTGTGGCCTAAAATTATTCATCGGTTTAGGAAAAATTGTAAAGTGTTTAAAATTTCCACGAAAAATTGGAAATAAGTTTTTTGCACACAAAAATTCCGCAAAAGAAAGTCTAATCCTTATTCGGTTTAAAGTGACTTGTGAGATCGAAAGGTGCATTCACGAAAATGTACGAAATCATCTAAAAAAAAATCGTAAAAAAAATCGCCGAGAACGGGTGTTGTTCCCTTTACAAAACCAAAAATACAGAAGACACTATCTTGTTTTTACAAAAATATGTAAAATCTCCCAAAAACCTAAACGTCTTTTGTAAAAAAAATATTCGCCAAGAACGGGTGCGACCGTTGGTCTGTTTAGAAAAAGTTGTGAAATCGGGCAAAAGCTGTGGTGCCAAGTACAGATTAATGAAGCCTAAAGATTATGACGCAAATCACATAAAACTGAAGAAATAATGAAAATCATGAAAATGATATTCAAAATTTGAGATGTTAAATATAAAAATAAAAATTCCTACTTGGCTCGCGACTAAAGCTACACAAAATCTCGCCAAGTAGGTTGACTTGGAATTTTCATTATCTCAAATTCATAAGCTGCTGATTACCGTAATGAACATTCGCAAAAACACTCATCGTATAGGTGGAATTGAAGAATCACCTTCCGAGGTGGTCAACTTCTAAGGCTAGTTTCCCCCCTTGAAACCGCGTATTAGGAGCTAAAAAAATGTTCAAAAAAGTTTCATCGAAATCGGAGGGAGACATCCACCTAGTGTTCCTTGTTAGTAGCAAAAATTAATCGTCGTAAAGTGTATTTTCTGAATAATTCATGTTGAAGAATGTCAAATTGAATGTCATTTATATTTTTTACACTTAAAAAAACGCCAAGAACTTGAAACAGAGATGCTATAAATTAACCGTGAGTTATCACGAAAAGAGCCGATACTGCCTCTTTTGAGACTGTGATGAGACCAAATGTTTCCGTGTTCACCAAGACCGAGACGATCCTTTTAAAGTGAAGTCTCTCTTTTGCAAAAAATCATGTCTTTTGCCTAAATCATTATTGTTCGACAACTCACTAGGGCAAATTAATCTTCATGATGTGTACTTTCTGAATCATTTATAGTGAAGAACCTCAAATTGGATGAAAATTTTGTTTTCACTCACGAATTCACTCACGAATTAATTTTTCGGCTTTCCTTGTAGAAAGTCGAAAAATTAATTCGTGAGCGGCATTTTTTTGCTTGAAGAAAACTGAGTATATTGTAGCATCTATAACAAAAAATTTAAGCTTTCTGCTCGAAAACTACTTTTTCGATTTAATGATCAAAAAGATATTTTGTCGCGACGATTAATAGATTTTCGCAGGCGCAGCGTGTATGAAGTGGACTTTCATAAACAGGAATAACAAAAAATTTATTTTAAATCAATCCGCTTTTACCAGTCAAATACTGATTTGAATATGTTGATGAATAATTATCAGTAGTGATACCTCAAGAGCGTCAAAATTATGGGGTATTTCCCGATAGCTCCGTTGCAGCAAATGAGGGTATGAACTGTTGCAGGTGAAAAAAACTTGATACCATCATTTCAAAACTTGGCACGATTGTTTGTTTGCAGGGGAGCTGGATGGAAATACGCGATTATTTTGAAGCTCGAGGGGTAATTATCGGATTATTTTCCCTAATCGGATATTTGACCAATCACAGTGCAGTGCACAACACCGAGAGGTGAATTAGGGAAGATTTGAATAAATCGAGATACGCGGTAGCGTATCGGCCAAGAGAAGTTTTGACCAACTGAGCAAAACATCAGGTTTGATCGACTGTGCAAAATATCAGAGAGCAGCGCGTATCTATACACGACAGAACTTCCCCCTCCACTACCTCTAAATGATTTACATTCGGTATAATGAAAACGGGACGACAAATCGGGAAAGTGTCATTAGTTACATTATATAAATCGCCTATGAGCTTTTCAACGGTGTAACATGGTATTTTTTGGATTAACAGTAAAAAAGATAGGTGTTTAGCAACGAGTTGATATTCACATTCTCGCGATTCACATTATAAAGTGTGAGAATCAAGTTGTAACGTTGGCAGCGCCGGTCCAACTGAACTTCATATCCAACGTTGAAGTGTTCCCACCAGTGCATTTGAATGTGGGTTGTGATGTTGTTATGGAGAACCACAGAAAATGTTCTTCTTCACGTTAAATCACTTATTAGAATGAAACGCAAAATCGACTCGGTGATCTATTTTGTTTCCTCTCGTGGAAAATTCGAATTTCATCCCGCCATATCTATATTCATATGCGGACCTCGGACATAAAGGTAGTTAATGCACTGTTTGTGAGGTTATCGGTTTATGTTTGGAATGTGACAAAAGGAAGATGTGTCGAAAATATTGTGTAATCAAGTATTAAATGTCCGTGAATAGTTCAGTTCGAAAAGAAAATATTTATTTTTCTCCGAGTGTAACAGAAAATGTTTTCATTCCGTGGAAAAAAATTCACTAAATTAAGTGACAGTGAAATACGAACAATTTTGTGATTATTTAGGAAAAATTAGTAGGAGACGGTGGGATTAAATGGACACTTTAAACTCTTTTGAAAAATGATGTCTTATTGAAGTGCTGATGAAATAGATTTTTTTTTAAAATTAAAGTACAGTCAGCCCCTTTGTAATAAGCTTAGACTGAGCTCAATCGATAAATTTGTTCCTTGGTTATAAATATTGAAATAAGAAGTCAGAAGAGTCCATTCCACCCAATGTTTCCCTAATATTTTTAAAAACAAAAACAAACAAAAACAGATGTTTTAAAAAAGAATTATTTGTGAACATTTTGTTCGATTATTCCTATAAGGAAATCAGTTCATCTCTCCACGAAACACAATCCATATAGGAATCATCAGAGCAAAAATTGAATGAGAAACCAAATCAAGTCAGAAAATTGTTAATAGATGATTAAAATTTGAAATTCGGTGGAGAGAATAAATCTGGAGTAGAACTGTTTATTTCCCTTCAATTGTTGATTCAAAAAATGTTCTATCTTATGAAAACTGAATCAGTTAAATTGAATTGAAAAGAACAAATGTCACCGGATGTAAAAACAGTCCTTGCTTATTTTGAAAAAAAATGATGAAATCTGCCTAAAAACACAAAAACAAATGTTTTTGTGAAAAAACTGGGCCAAGAAAAAGTTTTGTTTGATTCCTACTGGGAAATCGAAGTTTTGGAAAAATACATAAAAATAAAAAAGGAAGCCAAGTTAGGAATTTTGAATAAATGGTGATAGTGCACATTCAGGTTTCTATAAGAAAAATAGTTCTCAATGGAATAAGTATTCTAAAAAAATTCTCCATGAAATAAAAAATCAGTAGGAGCAGGACCAACGTTCTTGGCGCGGAGTTTTTCAATTCACTGTCTGTATCAATCTATTCCTCCATCCTTTGATCCGCGCCAAGAACGATGGTCCTGCTCCTACTGATTTTTTATTTCATGAAAAAATTTTTTAGAATACTTATTCCATTGAGAACTATTTTTCTTATCGAAACCTGAATGTGCACTATCACCATTTATTCAAAATTCCTAACTTGGCTTCCTTTTTTATTTCTATGTATTTTTCAAAAACTTCGATTTCCCAGTAGGAATCAAACAAAACTTTTTCTTGGCCCAGTTTTTTATATTGACAGAATAACACGATTTCCGTAGATTGTCAAATATAAGAATCGATCTGAAAGCCACTTTTAAAAAATTCAGTGTCACGTTTTTTGAAGTCTCTATTCCACTTATCAAGTAATGTAATATGATGTCTATGTGCATTTTATATGTACTGTAATCTGTTGTTTATAGTAATTGCGAAGAAAGACAAATTCATTTCTTACTGTAATAAAAAAAATATATAGTTCTGTAGAAAAATAAGTATATAATAGTATATATCCATAGATATTTTATACTGTAATTTTTTTAACAATAAAAAAATGTCATTCTGTACTGTTCTTTACTGTGAAAAACTTTGTTGAAACCAGTCATTTTTCCTACATTATTATTGAGATAAAAATTAATGAAAGTGAGAAATGATAAGGTTTTACTATTCTGACCTCCATGGAAAACAATACGCACGTGAAGCGTGCGCCCTCTTCTAGTGAGACGAAAAAATTAAGAGCCACTGCGAAATATTCAGGCATCAAAAATGCAGAGCTGCGAACTATTCAAAAGTTGGGAGGAAATATCCGAAACAAAACTATAGGATATCCTCAAATACTGCGCTCTGATTGGTCGAAATCCGATTGGGAAAAATAATCCAAAATAACTCTATGCACTTTCATCAAGAGGATTATTTTAATACCTACCTGCAAACAAAAGGATTTATTCTGATCGAATTCGATCAACAGCATGGGTTTAACATAGTGTCGACTCATGGCCACTGCTTGATTGTACAATCTTCCAGAGTTCAGAGATATGATGAGATCTGATATGCTTTTTCGCTCCACACAAATCTCCGGCGTAAGAATGTAGTCACCAACCTAATTGAAATGAGTCTTTCAATATTTCGTCATAATTATATAACATTAGTTGTGATGATTTGTTGTCATCGAATTTTTATGAGTTCAAAATATTTTATCAATATATGTCACGGTTTCTCATACCAATATCGTAACCGGTTCTATATCAATTCCTCGTTTATGCAGTAGGCTTGGAAGTTCACTTCGAAATTCTCGTATATCCACTATCACTTTCGGAATGACTTTACTGGTAGGTTCTCCTCCTCCTTTTCGAGAACTTGAATCTGCGGTCCCAGTGGAAACATTCGAAACGTTTCCTAATGTTCCATCTTGGTCAGATGGTATAATCATCGTCTAGCAACATGAAAATCAATCAATCATTTTTTGTATTCAGTACTTGAATTAATTGCAGCCTTTTTGTATAAGAAAGAAGTATAACATTCAACAGATTCGGTTTTTTTTTCAAAATACTCGTCATAATGATACCTATTTACCGAAAAATACCATCCCACCCCAAGAAATGTAGTTTTATTCGCGTTTTTCCATTTTTGCTTTCGAATGCAAGCATTGTAACGTGTCACTGACTGTTGTCACTGCCTTAACCTCGATTTACCATTTTTTATAAAGATGATATCAAAATTATTATATTGACCTTTTTCATAGCCCTTAAAATTCTCTACAAAAAAGGCCTTCATCAAACTGCTCCTATCTCCCTTAAATTCCAAGCTAACGAAAAGTACAGAGTAAATTGATGTCACTGACTTGACCCCGAATTATCATTTTTGAGCTTACATTAGGTGAAAAAAAAGTTTGTAATGCACCCCAGCGGTTGGATTCGATTAAGGGATGGATCACACGTCGATAAATAATATAAATAAGTGTCTTTATTAAGAAATGATTTTAAACGATTAATTTTGAAACGGAAGTTCTTCGACAATGTTGAATAAATTGGACAAAATGAATGAAATCGATGATAAAATACAATTTGAAGAAATTCTCACCTGACGCGGTCGGGGTCTGACGACTGTCAGGGCTTACAATAAGATTTTGACGGATAATTAATTAACTGTCGGGCGCCAGCCAGTTTTGACGATAAACTGACAAATGAAAAATGATGAAAATGATATAGGGGAAGGGTAGGCTCGATTGGGAAGACCCAAATGAAGGAATCAATCAGTTGACCTTGAGCAAAAGAAAATGTATTCGACAAAAAATATAAATACTTACAATATTTACGATTTCTCTCAAATTCACACAGCAGACCGTTGACAAAATCAATAATAATTAAATACAGTTAAATAAACTGAATGAGTGACCACAATGAAAAGGACTCTATACAATGCAAATCACGCTGCGAAGTGTTCTCCTGGTTCACTTGTTGCTTGCGTTCGGGCTCCTCTCCTCTGTCAACAATCGATATTACGTGATGCATGCGCATTAACGCCTTTCGATAGTAACTCAAAGAGAAGGACTGCATGATTTTGGTTTTGTGTTTCGACTTATTTGACTTTTAATTAAGATTTCATAGAGTGGGATGACCGGGTAAAATGTTTCCGGTTACAATTTACCATTTATTAAATAAATAAGACCTCGGTCTGATAATGAAGGTATCAGGCGAGTAGAAAATAAAAGAAGGTAATTAAAGTGTTATTTAAAGTTTTATATTCCTTCATGGATTCAATTGCATCAGGTCATTGTCTTGGTCGCACACCTGCGAGGCATCAGGTGACGTCTCCCGACGCACGTGAAAGCTAGTTGTCGGGGCGCAAAGTGCTGACGCTGCACCCCAGTTATCTACATTCGTCGAATATACGTGGTTTTTCAAACACGAATAGTCAACGTTATTTTGTATTTCTTCATTCCGTTTTGTTTCGAATAATATGTGCCACTTTTATGTCCTCATATTATCCGGATCAACAAAGGAATTTCATAATGTTATTTTGGGACGTAACATCCCTCCCCGCCAGGGAAGAAAATTACTACCATTAGAAATTTGCTCTTCTAACCGCACTTCATCGATAAAATACACAATTAACATTTTTCCTTACATTAACAATTCATATTTACAATTCAGTAATTAATCAAATAATTGTGTAAAAGTAAGTTGATTAATTCACATAAATCAAGATCATATAATCTATGGCATCGAAATTCAAAATCTCCCGGAACCATCCTTCACGCCAAAAACGGGGTGTCCTAAGGTGTCCTAAAGGTTCAGTTCTAAGATAATTGCTAGAATCACTATCACTCCGGTAAATATCGATGAAAGGTGTGTGAGAAATTCTCGATTATCGAATTTCTCTTGTATGTTATCTAGATTCTTATCTCAGCTTCTAGTTGTACATGAAGCCCTTCCAGTTCCTTCACATTCCCGATAACATTGGTCAGGTAAACATCACTCATTTTGAATTTTCGTTGCTCCATTTGAGTGACGGTGACGTCATCCAGTGTCAAGTTCAATCTCGGACGAACATGAACACTGAACATCACTTCATGTGACTTCCGCCCTCTTATAGTGAAATCGGAGGCAACTATTTCACAGAAGTGCTCGAATCGCAGGATTCCCGAGTCCTCTAAGCTATCTCGTACTTCCTTGTCACCACAGGTGATTACTACTCCCTCAGGTTCTGGAGTTACATAGAACCATGCGTTGTCCTCACTCATTTTTATTAGGGTGAGCCCTTGAAGCTGAAGGTGTTTCACCATGCACGTATCACCCGAGTGGAAATTCTGTTCAGGTTTCGATCAGAAACTGATCAAGTCCGATCCGAAATTCTGATCAGGCATGTTACGCCTCCACCTTATGTTTTTCCACTAGGGTTTCTCCGCCTACCATCATTAGGCATTAATTAAATTCAATTTTTTTGAGAGAAAAAATTAGTAACTTCCTAGCCGGGAATCGAACCCGGGACCTCCCAATGTCGCGTCGGGTGCTCTTACCATCTGAGCTACCGGGACACTTACGAATTTCACTCTCGAATTGACTCATACCCGAGTGGAAATTCTGTTCAGGTCTCGATCAGAAACTCATCAAGTCCGATTCGAAATTCCGATCAGGCATGTTACGCCTCCACCTTATGTTTTTCCACTAGGGTATCTTGCCCTTGCCTAGGGCATCTTGCTAGGGCATCAGGCATCTTGTCGGGCTCATATACATCTGCGCCCCACAGGGGCTTGTATTTTTCACCTTTTGTATAGGTAAAGATTCGGTGCATAAGTATTGTCCCTGAATGCGTTTGCAGCATTTTAGTTATCCCTCGGTCATTGGCACGAATTGCTGTCACTCCGTGTATCACCATCAGTTCGCTTTCCGCCTTCAAGTATGAGTGATACACGTTCGACGTCCGCACAGAAATTCAGTGATATTTCTATCAGAAGTTGACCAGTGGTATTTCCACCAGGGTAATAATTTTTAAACCAGAAGCATACACATAGACGGTGGAAACCTGTAGTTGATACATTGGCCCTTCTTCGAGCTCAAAGGGGAATCTTAAACCCTTTGGTAATTTCGCAGTTTTGAGAAACGTGACTAGACCTTTCTCCGTGAACACCCTTGTATCCAACACCAACCCCCTGGAGTCAGTCAGTAGTCTTTTGATTTTTGCAGTATCCATGATTACTCCAGTGTAGATGACTTCTAATACCAGGAGATGTTCATCTATGTTTATTTTATTCATTATCAGTGCATTTTCCTGATTTCCCTCGCTCACAGCCTCTCTCAGGGATTGCATCAAAATTTCTTCATTCTTCTTGATCATCTCCTCAGTGTGTCCCAATTGATAGAGGGTTGCATTCATTATTTTCAGCTGCTTCTCCGAACTTTTAAAAGTCCCTTCGACGCCATCCTCAAGACGTTTGAGTCTGTCGTTGATCATGCGTCCTGGGCATCCATGGTACCAAACAATGATTTGGCAACAGTCCCTAGGCCATCTATGAGCCCTCTTCGCTTCTTGGTTGATTCGGTAGAACTCAACATCCCGAGGATTACGTCATTTGTTTCTGCAAAGTCCTCAATCCATTGTTCTAGGATGAGTTTGAAATTATCGCCACTTTTTCCAGCCCTACGAGCAAGTTCTTTAGCCAGATACAGATGTCGATGAACCTGATCGGCCCTTAACAACCAGGGTGAAACATCCATTGACGCAACTATGCTCCATATTTGGTTAGTCAGATGCAACCTCCCGATAGGTTCAAAATGAATTCCAGGGGTATGAATGAACTTTTCAATCACATATCCCTCCCCCCATACTTGAGACATGCTCCCTAGCATGATCATTATAAAGGGAATTCCAAAATTTAGTGATTTCGCAAAACCGTAGGTTTTTGAACCCGAGGCGTACGTTGACTTCAAGTGACGTTACCAACATTGACTTAACGGCGGCCATGTTTGTCGACGTTGCACCCTTTGATATAAAAGTGCCTGTCGCCCCCACCTGATCACAGTCCTCTCCAAAATTTCGAGTGTAAAGGTTATAATAACCCAAAACATCAAGATGAACGAAGGAAAGTGCTATGAATGTGGAATAGCTGGACATTTCTCCAGGAACTGTCCCTTTGCCGAACTCGAGACGTAGGATGGTCGAGTGCGGACGAAATCTCGTCGAGCGGGACCCCGCGCATCATCATCTGCTTCCAAGAGATGCTTCAAATGCGACAAACCTGGACATCTCGCTCGAATCTGTCCACTCCGTCCCAGTATTCATCCTGCAACTAACAGTAGTATGAGTGCAACTATGACGCCTCTCACCTACAGTCACTCCGACCCCACCACTCCACCGATCAGAATAGTACGGATCCGATGCAAACGAGTGGTGGGGTAGGAGTGACTGCTAGCGTTGGGATGCGACATAGTCATACCACTACAGGGAATAATAAATACATAGAGTTTACATTAATATAAATTTATTTCCCCCAAAAATATTGACCTCATGAATTACAAATTCAGTTTTCTTATGAACTACTTACATTTTTGGTTCCACGAAGAACAATGATAAACGCGTCCACTAAACGATTTCCCATCAGGGGTAGAATTACGTTTTTTATGCATAAACACATCATAATAGTCTCGTAACAAGCGATCATTAGATATGAATCGATTGATAAATAAAGAATAGAACTTCTCAGGAGTAGCAAACATAGACATAGAATGCAGAAATAGTACGCAGTATTGTCCGCATACGCTCGAGTCGTGATGCTGGAGTTGTTGGAAGCTGCTCTTGCAGGGATCGGCAAAATCATAATTTAAGATTAACATTATTTCATTACTCCATCAATCCGGAATTTAAAAGGATAATTTCCTGATTAATTGAGTAATCAATAATCTAAAAAATCAATTACTAATTACTCCATT